TAGGCAAGCAGAAGCTGATGACTTTATGAGACATCAAGATACAAATGAAAAAAAATTTAAAAATTTTAAAAAAGACACAATGAAGAAATTTTTTTTTAAAAATGGAAGAATAGAAGAAAATGTGAAACAGCTTGTGGGAAAAACAATTGAAATGAAAAACAGATTTAGGAGAGTTAATTTAAAAATTATTGGGCTACCTAAAAGCCACGATCAAAAAAAGGGCCTAGACATCATCTTGTAAGAAATTATCAAGGAAAACTACCCCGATATTCTAGAACCAGAGGGTAAAACAGAAATTGAGAGAATCCACTGATGAGCTCCTGAAAGAGATTCCAAAATGAAAACTCTAAGGAATATTATAGCCAAATTCCAAAGCTCCCAGATCAAGGTGAAAATATTACAAGCAGCCAGAAACAAACAAGTCAAATATTGTGGAGCCATAGTCAATATAACACAGATTTAGCAGCTTCTATGTTAACGGATCAGAGGGCTTGGAATATGATATTCTGGAGGGCAAAAGAGCTAAGATTACAACTGAGAATTACCTACTGAGCAAAACTGAGGATAATCTTCAGGGGGAAAAAATGGATATTCAATGAAATAAAAATTTTCAAGCATTCCTAATGAAAAGACCAGAGGTGAAAAGAAAATCTGACTTTCAAATACAAGACTCAAGAGAAGCATAAAAAGGTAAACATGAAAGAGAAATCATAAGGGTTCCAATGAAGTTTAAACTGTTTACAAACCTACAAAGGAAAATAATACTTATAGCTCTGAAAACCTTTCTCATCATTAGGGTCATTAAAAGGAGTACACATAGATAGAGGGCATGGGTGTTAGTTTAATATGATGGGACAATTGCCTAAAAAAATTAAATTAAGGTATGAGAAAGAAGAATGCACTGGGAGAAGGGGAAAGGGAGAGGTAGAATGGGATAAACTATCTCACATAAAAGAGATGCAGAAGAGCTTTTTAGATGAACAGGAAGATGGGGGAGGTGAGAGTGGGGAGGGGCCTTGAACCTTACTTTCAACGAAGAAGAAGTAATGTACACATTCAGTTGGGTATAAAAATCTCTTACCCTGCAGGAAAATAGAGGGAGGAGAAAAGAGAAGGGAGTGGTGATAGAAGGGAGCCTGAATTGGGGTAGGTAAAAGACAGAAGTAAAACACTTTTGAGGATGGACAGGGTGAAAGAAGAGAGTAAGATAAATAGTGGGTGAAAATAGGATGGAGGGACACAGAGTTAATAATTATAACTAAGGAAAAAAACTTCACAGCGCAAGTTTCTCTGATAAAGACTTCATTTCTCAAATATATAGAGAACTGAGTCAATTTTATAAAAAATAAGAGCCATTCCTAAATTGATAAATGGTCGAATGATATGAACAGGTAATTTTCAGACAAAGTAAACAACATTATTTATAATCATATGAAAAAATGCTCTAAATCACTACTGATTAGAGAAACGGAAATTTAAAAACCTCTGAAGTACCACCCCACAACTATCAGATTGAGTAATATGACAGTAAAAGAAAATGAAAAATGTTGGAGGGGATGCGGAAAAATAGGGACACTAATGCACTGCTGATGAAGTTGTATGCTAATCCAACCATTCTGGAGAGCAATTTGGAATTATGTCCAAAGGGCTATAAAACTGTGCATACCCTTTGACCCAGACCTATCACTACTATGTCTGTACCCCAAAGAGACAAAAAGCAAAAAGGAAGAAAACCTACATATACAAAAATGTTTATAACAGCTCAGTGGTGGCAAAGAATTAGAAATTGAGGGGAATGTCTATCCACTGGGGAGTGGCTGAACAAGTTGTATGTAACTGTGACAGAATACTATTGTGCTACAAGAAATGACGAGCTGGATGCTCTCAGAAAAACCTGGAAAGACTTATGTGAACTGATGCAAAGTGAAATGAGAAGAATCAGGAGAACACTGTACACAGTAACAACAATATTGTACAATAATAAACTATGAATTACTTAGCTATTCTCAGCAATACAATTATCCGAGACTTATGACGAAAAATGCTATCCACCTCCAGAGAAAGAACTGATGGAGTCTGAATGCAGATCAAAGTATACTTTTTTTTTTGGTCTGGGTTTCTTCTTTAATAACATGACTACCATGGAACTATATTTTGCATGACTGCACATGTAGAACCTATATCAAATTGCCTACCTTCTAATGAGGGGGAGAGGGAGAGAATTTGGAACTCAAAATTTTGAGTAAAGAATGTTGAAAAGTATCTTTATATGCAACTGCAGAGGAAATAAAATATTAAATCATTATAAATAAATCAGTAAATAAATGGATGGATGGAGGAATGGATGGATGGATGAATGAATGAATAAATGAATGAATGAATGAATGAATGAATGCGTGCATGAAAGGCCCGCCTGCCTAGATTTCATAGGAGCCCAAATGGCAACTGCTTCCCCATAACAGTGACTTGAGCTGAATTCCAATTAATGTTCTGGGACAAAGAAACCATCTTAAGTTCCTTTTACTCTTCTTGAGCCAGTCAGTTCTATTAATCAATATATAATGATATTTAACTAAAATACTGAAAATAAAATCTTGGATAATGGGCCCTATATCACAAAACAAGTCACAAAGGGGAAAAATGGTCAGATTAAAGTGACAAAAATAACTGATTTAGAGTCTTAGAGAACTAACGCTGAGACAAAGCAAACTAACTTTAAGAAACTGATTTGACACTGTTTATGAAAACTTGTTACTCTGATGGGAGGCCAATATTAAAATGATGTAGCATAATCAATCAAACAAACTTTCATTAAGCCTACTGTGTGCCAGTTATTATTCAGGGCAACAAGAGATTTTTAAAGAGTGAAACAGCTCCTGCTCTTGAGAATTTTACATTCTACAGGAAGGAAACAAAATATAAACAAGTTACTTAAATACAAGGCCACTAGCAATTGGGGGAACTGGGAAAGTCATCTGTAGAAGATGGAATATAAACTACATTTTGAAGTAAGGGGGGGGATTTCATAAGTCAGAGGTTAGGAGGGAATTACATAGGGGCTGGCCAGCACAAAGGCATGAAGACAGGAGATGATGAAGTGTTTTGTGTGAAGAATGGAGGAAATTACTAGTAGCTATGTTGGGGATAGACCAGGGTGGGGAGAAACTTTAGGAAACAACTATAATGTCCAGGAGAGAGGAGATTAGGGCCTGAACTAATGTAGTGGTTATGCATAGTGAGGAAAGGGGCCAGATGTGAGAGATGCTATAGAGGTAGAAACAGGATCTGAAAACAGACTGGGCACTTGAGTAGAGGAACTGAGAAACACAGAAGTTGTGAACCTGGGAGATGGGAAGAATGGTGGTGCTTTAACAGACACAGGGAAGTTCTGCAGAAGAAACTGTCCTCATACTGTTTGACTTCTTTGTGTCATCAACACTGTTAGTCACATCAATTTCTCTTCTTGGATCAGTTTTCTATTAAGAGGAAAGACACAATAATGTCCACTCTTCTAACTGTCCTGCCACTTCTTGGGCCGCCCTTTCTGTGATTCTTTTTCTTTTGACCACCTAAATATAAGTGTACCCCCAAGGCTTAGCACTTAGTCCTCCACTCTTTTTCCCTTAGAAATCCTATGCCTCTCCCTAACTTCAAATGTAGCTCTGAACTTCAGTCCTAGATCGCTCATTGTCCACCTGTCTTGCAAAAACTTCAAGAAGAACATGCCAAAAAACAAAATTGGGTTTTTTTTCCACTGCAGATTTCTCAGTTTCTGTCACCTGTGTAGAGGAGCAAAATACTTTACCTATAGTAGGTGATTCTGAGGACAAGACAGATTAACAGCAAATGTTATCACCACCATTAATTAACTACCAACACCAATCTTTACTTTTGGTCCTCAGAACAAAAGGAGCACTGAATGAGGCTTAGGAAAAGGACTTTACAAAAAGAATAAAATTTCTTTCCCCCAAAAAAGGTTATATTGGCTATATTTGATATTGATGAATGGGGAACACCTAACCTAACAACTATCAATTAGGTCTTTAAAAAAAATTAACAAGGAACAATATCAAGATAGAAATTGTTTGGTGACACACAAATTCCAGTAAAAAAAATAATGCCATAATGGCACTGACTTGGCATTGCACACCTAAGTATCATATCCTAGAGCTATAAAGCAAACAGTACAACTGAAAATATCAGAAAAGTAGCACCAGTTACTTTTCATTTCTTTGGGAGAGTGGGCAAAAAAATACAACCACAGTCTTCCTCTCCACCCCAACTCCTGACTTCCTATTAGGGGACTTCAGCAGTTCTCAAATGCTCTAAGCTCCCAGTTCCTCAATCTATTTTTCCCATGACTCAATCCACCCTTCTACTTCAGCTACAAACCTTTCATGCATACGTGGCCTACTTCCATGATTAAGAGTTCTGAACTTTATCTCATCACAATCTTCATTCCATCTCTCCTGCCTTAATCCTCTTACACTTGTTACTCGTGCTCACTTATGCTCTAAGCCCTATACTCCTTAGGTTCTCACCCAGGCCATCATACCTGCTCTGGCTACACTTTCCTCCCTTCCCAATCTTGACCCTTCAGTGAACGAGTCCAACTTTAAACTACAAATTTCTTTCTACTCTTGAGTTCCTTGTTCATCCTTTACTCGAGTCCGTTGTTCTCTTTGCTTTTCCTGATCCCCTCAGAGCTGTTAGCACCTTTCCTTCCAAGGCTTCTTTGCATTTGATTTGTATATGTCTTGCATTTATCTATACTTCATAAAAGTGACTGACAAGTAACTGACGATAAAAAATTGACTGACAAGATAATGCATATTACAATCTTTTGACACAATTGTCTTATTGAAAATTAATTTTTGTATGAGTTCAGCCAATCAAGAAAAAAAAACTTCTATTCTAATTCTAAATTTTCCCCAAAGATAGTATGAATTAAAGTAGCTATTTTAGCTCTGAAGGCAAAAATTCATAAACATTTAACATACGTTTCATTTTCAGCTCCATTGGTCTTGCTTTTGCGTTGTTTTTGCTCATTGTTTGCTGGAGGGGTCTGTCCCATTGCAGGAGGTTTTCGTTTTGCTAACATTTTTCTTTGTCTCTCTATCTCTTCCCTCTGTGAGTTTATCCTTTCCTGTTGCCTAAAGATATAAATAAAAAGGTTTAATTTTCACTAATAAATCTATGAACCAGAAATCATATTTCTTCTAAATTTTAGGGGAAAAAAGCATTACCCTTTAAATAAATAAAATACAGATATGATGTTTAACATCCCTTCAAAAACTTCAGTGACTTAACAGCAGAAAATCCTTTAGTTCAAGTATAGTGAAAACAATGATTGAATGCATTTAAAAGAATAAATGAGATCTGGGTTATGACATCCAAAGTAAGAAATTAATTCTAGCAAGCATATATTTAAGGAGGTAACAATCCCATTGAGAGGCAGCATGTTATCATGGAGTAAATTTGTTAAGGCCTACTTCTAAAACATACACTGTTATATTTATCAAAATGTACCAATTATTTGAGATGATTCATTTGAACAGCAAGATAATTACAAGGTTCTAAGTACTTTGTAATAGGATAAAAAAAATTGTTTTTTTTATTACTTTAAGTTATTGTCAAATCCAAGAGATACATTCTGTTTAGAAATGAACATTTTTAACAAATACCATTGCTTGATTACTAAGCGGTCAAAGAATATGAACAGTTTTCAAAAGAAGATTCACAAGCCATTAACAACCACATAAAAAATGGTCCAAATCAAAATCACTAACAACGAAAAATGCAAATCAAAATAATGCTGAGGTTTTACCTCATATCCAACAAATAGGAAAAGATGACAAAACACAGGAACAGTTAGGGTTGGAGGGGTTAGGGTTGGAGGAGATTGACTCACGAATATATTGTTGGTAAAAATGTGAATTAGTGCAATCATTTTGGAGAGAAATTTGGAATTATGCAAATAAAGTTACTAAATTGTCCATGCTCTTTAACTCAAGGAATCTACCATTACGCTTAAACCCCAAGAAGGTCATTGATAATGGGAGTATCCATATACACCAAAATATTTATGACATCACTTTTTGTGGTAGAAAAGAACTGGAAGCAAAGTAGCTGCTCATCAACCAGAGAATGGCTAAATAAATTATGGTATATAGGTATAACGAAATATATCTGTGCTATAAGAAACTACAAATGTAATGAATGCAGAAAGACATTAACTGATGGACAGTAAAGTAAGCAGAGCTAAGAAAACAATATTCACAATGACTATGATACTGTAAATGGAAAATAAGAACTACCACCAAACAATAAATTACTGGCCATCCTTTCCAGTTAGGCTACACTTCCACTTTCTGCTGGTCTTCACTGAATAGTCATTGGTCTTGTTGCAGGAGTTGGAATATTGCTTGTATCTCACTGCCCCTTCAAACATTCCTTCTACCGTGATTACTAAGCAACCTCTCTTCCTCTGAGGTTCATGATGTTCAAATTTGTCACTCAATAACACGTTTTCCTGTCTCTTATGTATTGATCTCCTTCCCACCGCCTAGGATACTTTTCTTTGTTCTTCAATTCATTCAGTGCATGCTTAACAGTATTTCTCAACATTCACCTCTTTCCAAATCCTGTTCCCATGTTGGGATACTTCAACATGAATACTCCCACAAATACCCCAAGTTCTCAGTTACTCAATCTACTCAATTCCTATGACCTTTTGTACTCTGCCTTAACTATACAAAAGGATTAACTATCATACCCTTAAGTGTGGGTATGTCATTAACTATAAGAGTTTCAACTCTATCTTTATGAATTCTAAAATTTCCCTACAGACAGTTCTCACTTTACTAAGGCCACAGACCCTTTTTTACATAAAGTAAATTTGCCCAAGGTTTTTATGTAACAAAAATTTGCCCAAAGATATAGGAAAGAGGAAGCGGGAACCAGGAAGGGAGACAGCAAGGGGACCAGCACACAGTTCAAGAACAGTTGGGGGCTAGGGAAAGAGACGTGAGAACAGCCATGGGGGGGGGGGAGAAGGGGACAAGGGCAGGAAGAGAAGAGAGGTATGGGCCAGACAGGGACACAGCAGAGGGTGGATGACATGCAGGAACTGGGAGCAGACACATGGTACCCTATCTACTGGTTGATTCCAATGTGTTCCATCCTTTAAAAAAAAAATCACAATTAATCTTACCATATCTGCTGGCTATCATCCTATCTCTTCTTCCTCTTCTCAGCTAAACTTTTTTTAAATTAATTAACTTCTTTTTAGTTTTCAACATTCACTTCCATAAGATTTTGAGTTTTAAATTTTCTCCCCTTCCCCCCCCAAGAGAGCATGCAATCTGATATAGGGGTGTGTGTGTGTGTGTGTGTGTGTGTGTGTGTGTATTTATATCAAACATATTTCTATATTGTAAAGAATTAGAACCAATGGGAAGAACCACAAGAAAGAAGAAGCAAAACAAACAAAAAGAGAGAGAGAGAGAGAGAGAGAGAGAGAGAGACAGACAGACAGACAGACAGAGCAAACAGTATGCTCTGATCTGCGTTCAGACTCCACAGTTCTTTTTCTGGATGTGGATAGCATCTTCTATCATGAGCTGTCTTAGATCCTTTCACTGCTGAGAAGGGCTAAGTCTATCAAAGTTAGTCACTGCACAACACAGCTGCCACTTGTACAATGTCCTTCTGGTTCTGCTCACTTCACTCAGCATCAGTTCACATAAGCCTTTCCAGGTTTTTCTGAAGTCCGCTTGCTCCTCATTTCTTTTTTAGTTTTTCTTTTCTATTTCCTAAACTAAAGCAGCAAAATGAGGGCTGAATACAGCACAACAACACAGGAACTAGAATAAGCTGACATCTCAATGTCATTATTCAGCATGCTTTAGGACACTCAGCTTAGTGATTTTGTTGTTCAGGCATTTTCAGGCGTGTCTGACTCTATGTGACTTCATTTGGGGTTTTCTTGGCAGAGATACTGGAGTGGTTTGCCATTTCCTTCTCAAGTTCCTTTTACAGATGAGGAAACTGAGGCAAACAGGGTTAAGTGACTTGCCCAGGGTCACACAGCTAGTAAGTGTCAGAGGCCAGATGTGACTTCAGGAAATTGAGTCAGTCTTCTTGACTCCAGGCCTGGCACTATCCACCTAGCTGCCCCAATGTAATGCTTGATTGATTATTTGAAACCACTGGACATATTTAGCCTGGATTAGAAAAAAAAATACTTGGCATAGATATGACAGTTGTATTCAAATATCTGAAGTATTAGCAAGTAGAAAGGGGATTGTTTTTGTTATGTTTGCCCCCAAATCAAAGAACTAGGTCCCATAAGTGGCAGTCACTGGAGAACAGAAGGGAAAACCTACTAAAAATTAAATGGGAATGGGTTGCCTCAATAGAAAGTGAATTTTCTGTTGCAGGAAGTCTTCGAGCAGAGAGTGACTTCTCTGTTAGTGGTGTTGTGGAAGACTGCTCCTCATGTCTTATAGTACTGTAGCACTCCACTACATTCACATACATGAACTTGTTTAGTCATTCCTCAATTGATGGCCAGCCCCTCAATTTCCAATTCTTGGCCACCACAAAAAGAGCTGATAAATATTTTTGTACATGTGGGTCCTCTGCCCATTTCTATTATCTCTTTGGGATACAGACTTAGAAGTGGTATTGCAAAGGGTATGCACAGTTTGATAGCCCTTTGGGCATGTTTCAAATTGCTCTCCAGAACGGCTGAATCAGTTCACAACTCCACCAACAATGCACTAGTATTCCAATTTTCCCACATCTTCTCCAACATTTATCATTTTCCTGTTTTGTCATGTTAGCCAATCTGATGGGTGTGATGCAGTAACCTCAGAGTCGTTTTGATTTGCATTTCTCTAATCAATAGTGATTTAGAGCATATTTTCATATGACTATAGACACGTTTAATTTCTTCATCTGAAAACTGCCTGTTCATATCCTCTAACCATTTATCAATTGGGGAATGACTTGTATTCTTATAAGTTTGACTCAATTCTCTATATGCTTTAGAAATGAGGCCTTTATCAGAGACACTGGTTGTAAAAATTACTTCTGATCAGCTAAATTTCTTGAGAAAGCCATCTATAATTGGTGCCCCTACTTCCTCTCTTGTTAGTCAGTCATTTCAGTCAATAAATATCTATTAGTTGCTTTCTATGTGCCAGGCAATGTGCCAAGTGTTTAGGATACAAAAAAGAAATAAAAAGATAGTCCCTGCCCTCAAAGAGCTCATAAGACAACAAGTAAATATATACAAACAAGCTATATACAGAGTAAGTAGGAAGAAATTAAAAGAAGAAAGGCACTAAAATTAAGAAAGGATAGAAAAGGCTTCCCTATAGAACAGGCCTGCATAACCTGCGGTGTATGGGCCATAAGCAGCCCACCAAAAACGCAGATGATATTCTTCACGGGCCACAGGTTGTGTAGACCTGCTATAGAAGATGGGATTTTAGTTGGGGCTAAAGAAGCAAGGGAAGCCCGTAGGTGGAGATGAGGAACGATAACATTCCAAGCATGGAGGGGAGTCAGAGAAAATGCCCCGAGCTGAAAGATAAGAGCATCTTGTTTGTGGAAGAGGAAGGAGTCAGTATCACTGACCAGGATAAAGTATGTAGTGTGTAGTGAGTAGGTGGGGGCTAAGTTATAAAGGGTTTTTGAAAGCGGAACTCAGGATTTTGCATTTGAATCTCAAGGCAATAAGGAGCCACTAGAGTTTACTGAACAGGGGTTGACATGGTCAGATCTATGCTTTTGGAAAACTCTTTAGTGGCTGACTGGAAGATGAACTGCAGTGGCAAGAGACTTGAGGCAGGCAGACCCACCCAAGTAGGCTGCTGCAGTAGTCCAGAAGTGAGATGATGAGGTCCAAAGTGGCAGCAGTGTTAGAGGAAAGAAAAGGGTGTAGTTGAGAGATCTGCAAAAGGTGAAACAGACAGGCTTTGGCAAGAGATTGGATATGGTGCATGAGAAATAGTAAGAGGCCCAAGATGACTCTGAGGTTGTGAGCATGAGAGACTGGGAGGATGCTGCCCTCTATGGTAATAGGGAAGTTACGAGGGGAGAGTTTAGGGGGGAAAGATAATGAGTTCTGTTTTGCACATGCTTA